TTTTTTTTTTTTTTTTCTGAAACTCACAAAACAATAAAAATAGCAGGCTTCATGTCAACCACTCTCTAGTTATGCCTGAACTGGGTCACGTTCAACATCTGGTATGTGATTAAGATTGCGGTTGAGAGGCTTGTTTCTCTGGCCGAGTAGAATGGGGAGCTATGAACTTCTATTCATTTATTGGGTTTGACCAGAAAACTAAACATGAAGTATAATGTGTATGATGTAACACCCAGAATAGCTCGGTGAACTGTCGTGAGTGGTTAGTTAGGGTATTGCATGTTCAGAGGAGCTCCAACTCGTTATCAATGTTTGACCTCGTTAGGAAGCTCAGGTTAGAGGTCGACCTAATTGAAGGATTGGGAGGTTGAGCTCCTCGATGAGACTAAGGGACCTCATGACCCAAAGGTCAGAAAAGTAGAGGTCGTGGTGACGAACTGGTTAGAGCATGTGGCAGGTAGGTTGCGAGGTCGTTAGGACGATTTAAGAACCTAAGTGTCATATGGTAAGAGGAGAAAAAATCCTGTAAGGATGGAAAGTGCATCTCGCTAAGGACGCTGAGATTTTAAAGACATGATAAACTAAGAAAATAGACACAGTTGAATCCCTTTCCTAGCCAGGATCCTACTTGGGCAACAAGATACCCCGATTATATTAGAGGTAATCAGGTTTATATTTAATTAGCGCATATTTACGCTTATAATATACAATTTCCCCGTATTCTCACGAGTGGTGACTTGAGAATCGGAGGTTTTCCGTCGAGACCACTCCCCGGCGTAATGCAGGTCACCAGAGCTCAAGGAGAAAACCGTTCGTGGTGGTACTAGTCTGACCCGATTCAAGGACAATTTTTATCAAATTGGCGCTGCATGTGGGAACATACTAGTTTTACCGTCTATAAGGGACTAAGTTGGTTCCTTACAAAGTTGTCACTAGTTTAATCTGGAAAATATGGCTGGAGATATTCTAAATGAATATGGCTGAGAGTATGGGGGAAGCGTGGGTGTCGCGAGCTCCTTTGGGAACAGGACCTCGTTCTGGTTGATCGAAGCGAACTAGCCCACAGGTCACACCTAATGTGACACTGCCAGGGCCGCATACCACCTTAACCCCGTGAATAATATGCCAGAGCAACCTTCAGCAAGGCAGGAGTTGTTGGTCATCCAACAGAAGATTGAGGTGGAAGGTGTGCAAGGGCAAGTAGTCTAGTGAGAAGTCAAGACTCGGCATCAAGAAAATATAGGGGTCAATCGACCTCCGCACTAGGGCGGAGCTGGACAGAATTGTGGCCGAGGCGGTAACTCGAGCTTAGGCACCCGACCAGGAAAATCTGTTGGTTTCGCAACCACAACTTTAGAGGAGGGTAGAGGAGGTAGAAATGAGGTCGATATCGTCTAGATATGTAGAAATAACATTTGTTCGTCACGAGCCGCGGAACACTTTGCGGACTGCAAAAGTCTTCACGACGGCGAAGCTCTAAAGACAGTTGCCCCCGAGCATGGTTCATGGCATGACATCCCGCAAAGTTTTTCTTCTTCGGAGGCTGCGAAATCCTTTGCTGGCGGCGAAAGTCCAGAAATTGGCTTGGTCCATGAATAGCTCGTCGGGATCTCCAACGACTCAATTATTGATATGGCTTACACTATGAGGTCAGTTGGAGTTGTTCGAATGATGTTGAGTGTTGTGCAAAATTATCTGAATCGAATTTTTTTACAACATAAAATAATAGCCGCACACAAAAAATACACAAAGTACATATATATCATAAGAACACAAAACGGGCAAAATCAACCTCATGGACCGAAAAATCTATAAAACGAGCTTAGAAAAACTCAAAAGAATACTATAAAAACATCCAAAATAATAACCAAAATATGCAAAATAGTCACGTCGGTTGTGCACACACGTATCATGAATCAGACTCTCCGAGATAGTGTTATTAATCGTAAGCTTTCTTTTCATTTATCTATAGATGTGCGTATCGTGCGATTGTTGAGTTTAAATTTTCATGCAGATATAATGAGCTAAATTCTTTTACTAGGAATGAGGGGTAATTGAATTCTAGACCTTGTCTATAATTTGAATGACAAACTCTCAATTTGTTTACGTTGAATGATTAATAGAATCAACTGTTTGATCATGTCTAATTAATTAGATAATCCAACAACCGGAAGGGGATTCATTACTCGATCATAGGATAGATGTTCCTAAAAAGTATTATCTATATGTTGTTTGATTGCACATTTTTTTCATCTATATGTGTGTACTCTTGTTACGAATAGTTATTAACTTGTTCTTAGCTTAGTCAAACTAGGTTATTGAAGTTGTTTATTCATTATTAGCTGTTAAACAACCATTTCAAAATCTATTATAGTGTTTAGGATATGATTTTATTTTCTAATGTTAGAATACACATACAAACTATTCCGGTTAGCATTCCTTGAGTTACGACTCGGGGATTGATCTTTTGAGATTTAACTCCGAAAACAGCTACAACACTTAGTTTATACATAATTCATATGTAGTTCATACAGAATGCATACATAATTCATATGTAGTTCATACAGAATGCATAGTTATTTGATATAAATTAAATGTTTTTGAGATAATGTCAGATTCATGAATGTACCTTTAGTTTATCCATAATGCATACTTAGTTCATACATAATATATACTAGTTTTACCCCGTGCATTTGCACGAAAAATGATATAATAAAGTGAAAGTAATTGAAAATATAGAATAAAATAAAAAATAATAACTTAATGAATGAGAAAATAGTTATTTAAAAAAGTAAATCTAAATATTATTAAACCCTTCTTTATATAAAACATTCGTAATTTTTTTCTCGTCAGAATCTTCATCACAACAAATCATTATCGTTAAATTTCTTCGACTCGTGACTCTAGGATTTGATTTTCAAAATATTTAATGTATCTTATAATATCCAAAATAATATTTTTATTATTGTATGACTGCAATAGAAAATAGAGATATTTGTAGTCATTTTTATTTAATTGTGAAATATGTATTTATATAATACTCAAAAAATATATAGCATCAAAATAAAGATAAAAATATTTTATATTTCATGAGATAAAAATGCGCTATAGAAATGGAGATCATCCAAAATAAATTGTGTAACTGAAAGTTACGTATTATTATTAAATGATGAACATATTTTTATTAAATGACCTCATATTATTATTAATTGAAGGTGAATAAAATTAAATGAAGTTTGTCCCTAATTATATCTATATATATATATATATATATATATATATATATATATATATATATAGGCTTAGTTCATGCATCGTTTATATTCAGTTGATATAAGTACATATTTTTATAGGAGATTGTCAATTTCAAGAATAATGAATAGTCAGTTTATTGATAACGCATATTTAATTTATACTTAATGCATACTTAACCGATATTCAACAACTAACGACGGTTGTCAACGGTCAATACCTACAATCAACGACCAACATCGATGGTCAACGCTAAAAGTTATCGGTTGTTGAAGGTGATTTATGCACAGTGATTCACTTAGTCAAATCTATATATATATAAAAAGAATTACCATTTTAAAAAATAGTAGGTAAATTCTGGTCAAATCTTAATTAGCATTAATTACATTCCATACTTAGTAACTTCTTTTTTTATTTTATTTTTTTCCAAAAAAACAGCATTAAACGCTACCCTAAAATTATGGTATTTGTTACTTTTCTTTCAAAAACCGTGCTACCATAAAGAAACACTAACTAAAGTGTTTTGTTTGGAAACTATTAAATTTTCATTAAAACTAATTACGGTTGATTTAATCTTGAAATGGTACAACAATTTTATTTTTTTTAATATGCACCCTAAATTAATATATTTTGTGGATTTAATTTAGGTAAATTTCGACTGATGCAAAAGCCAATTTTCTTTCTCTATTTTTATTAAAAAAAACTGATTAAAATAAAATCAATAATTTCGAATTAGGCAAAATACTATCACATATATCTTTTACTAATTGCAACAAATCAATTATTTATTATAAAAATCGGATTGCATAGTCGACATGACAATTTTGCAAAAG